TCTGGTTCAGTTGAATCAATCCTAAGATTCTTCTGATTTCCATTCTAGTCAAAGTTTATTCAAAACCTTATTTGGTTCAGTTAGATCGACACTAAAATCTCTCTGATTCCTATTCCAGTTGAAGATATTCCAAGACTTTTGTCTGGTTCAATTGAATCGATCCTAAGATTCTTTTAATTTCTATTCCATTCAAAGTTTATTCAAGACCTTCTTTAGTTCAGTCAGATCAACACTCATATCTCTCCGATTCCTATTCCAGTTGAAGATATTCTAAGACTTTTGTCTGGTTCAGTTGAATCGATTATAAGATTCTTCTAATTTCCATTCCAGTCAAAGTTTATTCAAGATCTTCTCTGGTTCAGTCAGATTGACACTAAGATCTCTCTGATTCCTATTCCAGTTGAAGATATTCCAAGGCTTTTGTCTGGTTCAGTTGAATCGATTCTAAGATTCTTCTGATTTCCATTTCAGTCAAAGTTTATTCAAGACCTTCTCTAGTTCAGTCAGATCGACAGTAAGATCTCTCTTATTCCTATTCCAGTTGAAGATATTCCAAGACTTTTGTCTGGTTCAGTTGAATCGATCCTAAGATTCTTCTGATTTCCATTCCAGTCAAAGTTTATTCAAGACCTTCTCTGGTTCAGTCAGATCGACACTAAGATCTCTCTGATTCCTATTCCAATTGAAGATATTCCAAGACTTTTGTCTGGTTCAGTTGAATCAATCCTAAGATTCTTCTGATTTCCATTCCAGTCAAATTTTATTCAAGACCTTCTCTGTTTCAGTCAGATCGACACTAAGATCTCTCTAATTCGTATTCCAGTTGAAGATACTCCAAGTCTTTTGTCTGGTTCAGTTGAATCAATCCTAAGATTTTTCTGATTTCCATTCCAGTCAAAATTTATTCAAGACCTCTATTGGTTCAGTTTAAATCTCTCAATGGTTTATCCTGATTCTTTCTAGTAGACATTTTCTCTGGTTCAGATAAATCGCTCCAAGATTTATTCTGATTCTTTCTAGTTAAATTTTATTTAAAACCTTCTCTGGTTCAGTCAGATCGACACTAAGATCTCTCTGATTCCTATTCTAGTTGAAGATATTCCAAGACTTTTTGTCTGGTTCAGTTGAATCAATCCTAAGATTCTTCTGATTTCCATTCCAGTCAAAATTAATCCAAGACATCTCCAGATCAGATAAATCTCTCAATGGTTTGTTCTGATTCTTCTCCAAATCCTTGCGAGTTTAGATAAATCTCTCAATGATTTATTCTGATTCTTTCTTAGTAGACACTTTCTCTGGTTCAAAGATCTACTCTGATTATCTCCAGTTAAAGGACATTCAAGACCTCTTTTGGTTCAATTTAAACCTCTCAACAGTTTATCACGATACTTTCTAAAGGAACACTTCTGGTTCAGATAAATCGCTCCAAGATTTATTCTAATTCTTCCCAGTCAAACAACATACAAGACTTCTTCTGGTTCAGATAAATCGCTCCAAAGATTTATTCTGATTCTTTTCCAGTTGAAATCAAATCCAGACCTAGTCCATTTTCTGTCAATAGTCACCTTTGGATGGAATCTACAAGCCCATCTCTGTAAAATCTCCATCATTCCTCCAAATGGCATCTGTAAGTCCATCCACAATTCATCTTTGAGTGCAAATTTTTGGATACTCTAGCGTCCAATCATCTTCCACCTTCAAGTCACGAATGGCAGATCCGTCAATCTAACTCTTCAGGTTTAAGAAGATTGAACATGGATAGCTATTGTACCCCAAAATTTTACCTCTCATTTATCAAGCATTTTCTCACAAGATCTCCTTTGGTTCAAAACTGCACAAGGGTTAATCAGCTCAAGACACCTCCTTAAGCACTGATGACTGAAATTAGGGTTTGAGATTGCACAAGGATAATTGAACTTTTAATGCCTAATATGATTTTCATAGATCATTATGGACCCCCAAGATTGCTCATGTCAAGTTTCAAGTCTTGGATCATATTTTTGCTCAGTCAATTGATCAGTTGACCTAAAAATCAGTTGTATTATGGAAAAGTCAATTGTGGTCAATTTACAGTCAAACTTTATAATTTTTGATCCATATAAACATTGTGAACTCATATATGTCATTTGATCAAGTTTGGACCATAATTCCTCAAGAAATTTGATCAAATCATCAAAAGGGCAAAATGGTCAAAATTAAGGTTTTGACTGAGAAATGGCAATTTCTGATTCTTGACCTAGCAAATGGTTAATTGGTTTAAGACATGATCTCAAGAGTTAAATTGCATCATTTTAATCTAATGGCGTGACTTAAAACATTGCTCAAGATCAATTGATTGATAGTTGATTTTCAGTCAACTGATCAAAAGTCAACTGTACATTGAAAAAATCAAACTTTGACTTTTTGGTCAAAATCAAGTGTTAAAGATCACAATTCATAAAAACATGTCAAAATATGAAACTTGTTCATCAAGAAATCAAAAAGTCAAAATTTCATTTTGTATGGCAAGAATAAAATCAATAAATAGCAAACCCTAATCAAGACAAATCAAGCATGAAAAAGACACACTTGCACACATACACCCTTAGGGTAAATCCACTTGGTTGTCTTACAAAATGGACATATTATGCATGTGGGGTATCTTAACAAAAAACAAATAAAATACAAGATCATAGTCTTTCGATGACGCTATCAAAGTTGCCTTTCAAAAATGATCTTAGTCCCTTAAAGAAAATGCTAAGATATCTTACAACATTGCTAATCATGGTTATACGATGACCCTTGCCCGTCCCTTTTACATCCAAAGATAAGGTTACTTACCAAATCAATGGTAAGATAACAATGTCAAAAGAAAGAGGAAATAAACATGAAATACTTTTGAGTAGGTAGAATGTTCCTAGTTTCTTGCTCATTTTCAAACCAAAAAACATCCTTGCTATTTTCAAAACAAACACCAACACTTTCAAAAAACATCATTCAAGCTTGAAAACATTTTCAAAAGATAAACACTTTGTACGCGTTCTTATAGAAACGAGAACCATTATAAAGACACCTTTTCAAAATCACTTTCAAAAAACACATTCCTCAAACACCTCTTTGAACTATTTTCAAAACAACACTTTGTACGCATTCTTATAGAAACGAGAACCATTACAAAGACATTTTCAAAATATTTTCAAAAACCACACCACAAACACTTTTTCAAACAAAAGCAAGTGATCTAGCAAGTAACTAAGAGCCCGTAGATAACTACGAATGAAAGGGTTCTAATATCTTCCATTTTCATAATCTACTCCCGAACTCAAGAAAACATCTCAAAGGTCTTTCCTGTTCTTTTCAGCCTTTTCTTTTGGATAAAAGAAAAGTCGGTGACGACTCTTGCTAACCGCAATATTTGCGATCAAATGCAAAACGACCAAGTCAGTTCTCCTACGGTGTTACAATAGCAAATTAGTTTGGTTTGAGTCAAAAAATGGAAAACCACTTGATGCACAACCACATGCAATATCATTGCCTCAAAAACCAAAAAATACATGTAACAATAAATTATGAGAACTCTATATTATAACATTGTTGACAAAATTATCCTTGTTAACATGAACATCGATGTTTCATCAAAGTAAAACAATACAGTTTGCGATTTAACATCACTTACCAACTGCTTCCTCGGCCAAGGTTCTGACCTCCTGGTTAGTTTCAAATTCTTTTCTGAAAAGAAGGGAAATCCTCATTGTTAATGTCATGTATTTGTTGACGTCGTTCGGGTTTGGTTTCCTTGTACACACATGTTTCTTCACAATTATTTTGAGATACATGCAATAAAACTTCAATTACCAACTTAAAATTACAACAATTCATAAGTTCAAACTCAGAAAAATGACATTACAACACTCTTGCATAGATTAATTTAAATGAATTGTTTCTATCAACAATTGACAAGGATTAATTAAAAAATTTGCATCCTTCGATTAAAATGTGCATTAAACAATTTTAAGGGTAGGGATTTCTTACACTTGAGAAGGTACAACTACAACCCTTATAATCGCAATGAAACACCCTGGACGAACTACCACTTTCATGCTTGAGGTGGTGCCTTTTAATGTTTTTCTCAAGTTGTTTTTTCCCACAAGTCTCATAGGTTACATATTGTTCCATTGGGCCTCCATTGTTGTTGCTCCTTTATCTGACAAACTCAAGCCAAAGTAAAACACATGCTTTAATTATGATGAGAACCCAATGCAGTGGAAACATTATGACAAACTTAAGCCAAAGTAAAACACAGGCTCCAATTATGATGAGAACCAAATGCAGTGGCAACAACAAGTTAAAACAATGAATACATTAGTGCATCTACACCACTTAAAAGGGGGGAGGAAAAAGTGGAGCACCACAACTGCATGAATGAGGAAATAACAGGAAAAGAAAATGTTGTATGAAAGCTAATCTCATATGAATAAAAACTTTGGTAGCATAACTAAAAGTTTGTTACAATTAAAAATGTTCCATTGATTAGATATTGCAATAGCATATTAATCTTTTGCACACAAAAAAGCATATCAGTAAGAGGAAAACCTAATTTTACAAAATACTATGATATTAGAAGTTGGAAATATTTATCTCATATAATCCCTTAAACAACGTAAGACAGCCAAAACTCTAATAAATGGATACAAGGAGCTCAAAATCAAAAGTACATACAATGATCTCTAAATATGGCTACAAATGAAGAATGTAATCATGAGCGCACAAATTATTCTAGTCTGTCCCACACTTCCAACGATGCTGCCCTGTCTTGATGCCGCTTGTTCTTACTAATATGTCGTCAAGTTAGAAAAGCATAGTTAGAGTGTAATGAAAGTTAAAAGTTGGAGAGAAAAAATCCAATAACTACAATAATTTTAAAGGGGTTAGTACATTACAACGAGCTAAGAAATTTGCAATTTGAATTTTGAGCAACAATTGAAAAATAAACTACTTTTATTGAAATTTTCGACATGATCCTAAAGCCAGTCCTTGAACTGCCAATCTTTTCCCAAGACAAAAAACGTGACAACACGGTCCCAATCTTCGGGTTTAAATGCAGAAGGCTTATCCCTAACTTCATAAGTAGTAACAACTCTATCCCTACTAAGCTTCTTCTGAACAATAATACAATCAGGCCTAGCACCCTTCATTTGCTTAACCTTAACATCAGTAGGTACATAAACCCCATCTTCCTAAAACTCCTTAACATTATAGATAGTAATAAGTGTCTGATCATCAATGGGCCTCAATTGTTGTTTTTTCCCACAAGTCTCACATGTCAAATCATTATAGATAAGCTAATGATAATTATTTAGTAGAAAAGGAGATATAAACCCACATTTTGCAAAAGAAAACCAGTAACAGATGGTTTCAAGTAATTAGTGACTCCCTTTGTTGATGCATGTGCCATATGAGCAGTACCAAAAGCATAATTCACATACAGATCTACTAGTGCGACGAGCTTTTTTGCATGCTCGGGTTTGTTCTTTTCTTCCTCCTTGTAAAACCTCACATTTTCTAGAAAAATAACTCCTCCCTTTGGAAGGGAAAACATCAACTTTTTCTACTTCTGGACCAATACTGTATTCGGCCTTAACAAACTGTTGATTATCCAAATGCAAGAAAAGGGCAACATTATTGTAATTATCCATCAAACATTGAACATTCATAAGTTATTAACCTTCCATGTCCTTCAATCTATTCCTCAATAATCATTAACCTATATAAACATACCTAGATTCCAATTAGTTCGGAGAGTCGGGGAACAAGAGGTGCCAAGCTGTATTTGGGAGTGACACCCTTTGGCTGTCCTGGAAATTTTACCAAAAGTCATTGTGAATCAACTCACAAATTCAAACCACAATGAATCAATTCTAATCAGATTTTGCATTGTAAAATTATATTTATTGACACATACGCGTGTAATTACATTCAATCACTTTTATTTTCACAAGCTCATCATTAATAGAAGTATATATTCATAAGAGAAAGCTATAACTCACATCTGCAAGATGCAAAACAGAAAACAAATAGAAAACCTTTATAAAATTGTAATCCAAGTATCACAAGAACCCTAAATCCTAAATCATTATAACTGGAGATAAATTAAAAAGAAAAATCATAAACAAAACACAAAAACTCTAAACCCTAACTCAACGTTGGTGAAGTCAAATTCCTATGAGAAATAGTAAACAAAATGCATAAATACTTAACCCTAAATCGTCATCACTAAAGGAGGCGGGTGGAGAATGGAACGAAGATTGCAGATAGAGAGCAGGAACATTGATTGAGAATTGAGAACGGGAACACGAATTGAGATATGGAATAGTGATGGAGAATCGAGAATGAAACCGCGATGCCGAATCGAGACTGGAACGAAGAGAGTATTTAGTGACAAAAATCAAGACATCACTAAAAATGGGCGTCACAATATGTCATTTTTCTTGTAGTGTCAGAAGGACGACTCACTAATCAAACCTTATTTCCATCCAGAGTTGAATTCGGGTAGTATCCGAACGGTTCGTCTTTAATGGAAAATTCTTTCCCATTAGACTATATATAACAGGAGTGTTGAAAAATTATTTAATAAGTGCAACGAGATGTTGAATAAAGAGTTGAAAATGAGGTAGATTAAAATGTGTGGGAAATATTCAACATGCTGAATGAGAAGGAAGTGAGACCATATATAATACTTTGCAAAATCTTATTGGTTGTTGTGATTGTTTAAATTTTTAATTCATTTTAATTATTTGAAATAAATTATTTTATAATAAATTTATTTTTTATTTATTTTTATTTTCACCGATATTCATCATTTTTTTTTATAAATAGAGTTCTGGTCAATTTGATTTGGACACACAAAAAATCCACTTTTTCTCTCATTTTTTCTATTTAACCTCTAATAAACTATTGTTTCATCCATTTTTATTTATTTTAATAATGACTATCACTATAAAATTAAAAAAAAATCAAATAGATTAAGAATATAAAATTGAAATAAATTATTAAATTAGAGAAAAAAAATTTAAAAAATTTATTTAATTCTTAATTATTTTAATTGATAATTGATATTAATATATAATCATAAAAACAAAAATATAAAAGAAAATAAAAATATGAAATAAAAGTGGTGCGATATAGTGTTGAATTTTATTAAACAAAATTATTGTAGTGAGTAAAAATTAAATAAATATTGAATTATTAGGTAGAAAAAACAGAAGATGAGTGGAGTTTAAAAAATAAAAAAAGAAAGATATTAAATATGTAAACCATTGAATATGTAAAGTACCTTTGGTTCATGTTGTACGTTTTTACCAAGTGAGAAATCATCATAACATTGAATGTTTAATTGAAACTTAGCAGCTTCAGAAAAGGTCCGTGTTTCATGGGTTATTATGATATTGAATTTTCTGTTTAATATTGAATTGTCTTAGAATTTCTGTATGTAGTATCAAGAAACAGTAGCAGCAGTTCCTACATTCAGATTTTGACAATAACGATGATGGGGTGCACATGACTTGTTATGTAATGTATTGATCCTGTCTCATTTAAAACATGAAACAACCATCAAAGGAAACCTAGCTAGAGCCTAATGAAACAGGCCTATATGAAAACTTCAATAAAAGTCAGTAATATCATATTCTGTTCACATACAGTATTTATGGATAACTTTCGGCTCATCATAACTAGTACGTTTATAAGTTTTTTGGTGTGAAGAATGTTACTCCATAGTTGGTTGTATGTACTAGTATTGGGTAGCTCCATAGTTTTTAACTATGTAATACTACTAGCTAGTTTGAATAGTGGTGTTCATTAGTTGTTGAAAAAACGAGTGACTAGAGTAGGCATGTGAGTGATGTACTGGTCACATGCTATATGGGGGTATATTGTGTGATTGATGTTGGGTTATTGGTTCAAGTGGGTCAACCAATTATAGATGCTAAAAAGATGGTTTGGGATATGCTCAACTTCTCTTTTAGAGGTCGTCTCAATAAGACACAACTCTTGTGTCTCTATAATGTTTTGCAATTTTTCAATTTTTATGGTTCAAGTGTGTCTCTGAAGGATGAATATTTTAAAATAGTAAAGTATTGGTACTGGGTATATACATATCGCATTGGTGGTATTTCTTTTTTTCTCATCACTTAATTTTTAATGAAATTTGTGATTTTCTCGAGTATCAATATAGTATGTTTAGGTATTTTAATTTCTAAATTATTGTATCTCGATATTATTTTTGATTTTTTTTTTAAATTTTAGTAGTGATATATTGTGTTATGAACCTAACAATTTTATTATCTATTTATATATTTTATAGAAAATTCTAATTTTTTTTATTAACGTACATATACCTTGATTTTTTTAATAATGTCGTATCTTGTACCGGAACCAGTATCTGTATTGGGTATTGTACCGGTACATATACATCATAGATTGCTACAATAATATATTCAAATTGAGAAGTAAGATATCTTAATATCTTCTTAAATATTACTTGTTCAGAAAGATTTTCTTCACATAATTTCATCTCATTTGTAATTAGAATCACTCTAAAAATGTAATCAAGTATATTCTCATTGTTCTTCATGTTGAGATTTTCATACTGCTTACGTAGAGATTAAAGTCTCACCTTCTTCACTGACGCATCAATGCTGTAGCACCGTGTCATTATATCCCATGCATCTTTCGTTGTCGTTGAATTAATAATTTTTTAATAGGTCAGCTCAAAGTCCGCTTGACCGACCCGACCCAAGAAAAACATAGACTTGGTGGGCTGGTCTAAAAAGATAGGATCCTGTTTTTATAAAAAAATTGTGGCTCGACTTATGCTAAATTATATGGCTTGTGGATCGACACAATGAGTCAGATCCATTTTGACAATTCTAAGTGTAATTCTAACACTATAATTTCTTTTTTGTTATATATTTTTATTTTTATCAAAGTTAACAAATTAAATATGAAAACAAAATAAATAAATAATAATTTTAATTATTTATAAAATATTGAAAAAATCCAATAATAATCATGTTTGAAAATTAAAATACATTAATAATCATGTTTTTAAAAGATTTATGCAAATAAGCAGGTTTGGACAATGGTTTAAGTGGACACGTTATTTCATATGGCACGTGCACCTAAAATTGCACCTAGGCGCCATATGAGATGGCGCATGCATAATCTGTAAGTCATATGAGATGACACATACATTCAAAATTTGTGAGGTGGTGTCATCTCATATGTTGTCTAGGTGTAAATGCGTTTTCTATGAATACATGCCCCATTTCTCCATTATTTTTCACACTTTCTCACTTTCTCTCTAATTTTTTCATCATGACATCTAACATGATTTTCACAAGAGATGGGTATGTTGTTTTCCCGGCTACAAAACCCCCGATTAAAATGAAATTGTAGCACATCCATTCCATGGAGTGTCTTAAGAGAGATTTGATTGGATGGTTAGACGGGGACATCGAAGATGACGAATCCATTAGAAGAATTCAGAGACAAAGAACGACCAACTCACTTGCGACTAGAAAACTTCAATGTTGGTGGGAGGATGTCAAAACTGACACAGACGTAATGATGATGATGCATAGATACGATGAAATTATTTTGACAGTTGTAATTTATTAGACAATTTGACGTGTTAACTAATTTTAATTGTTGTATGTGTTTTTGTTTTAATCTTGTTTGTGTTCGGTTTGTTGTAACCAATTTTCTTAATGAAAAAAAGTCCAGTTAATGTCTAAAAAAATTACATAGTGTGCATATGATTTTTATGTATTAATCCCATGAGAAACTGACTAAAGACATAGGCCACCCGAATGGTCCACCAAAAAAGGAGAGGTAATGCCCTAGGGACACAATCTTGAGGCGAGGAAACCTCAAAAAAATTTGTCTTTCGGGAGCTACCAACATATCTCAAAGGTTTGGGAAGAGACAAAATAGGCAACTTACGCGGCTTGATGTGATTGGACAAATATTTTTCACCAAAATCCTGACAATTACGAGTCCTAGGAATAGATTCAACATTATGGATCACCCTCAAATCCCATGAAGAACAAATGTTACCCAAATGAGGTTCCATATTTCTACTACCACCTAGAGAAACAACAACAACATTTTCTTCTTCTCTTGAGTCAACATCAAAGTCCTGCAAATTGATGTTATAACATGTAACACCCTAAACCCCACAATGGAATTAACATGTAATTTAATTATAAATTATAACCACGTAAGGTGTCACACACATCAAAATACATAACCTGCTCCATAACATGAGTTTCAACAGAATAGTTTAAATACACATATTTGTACTTGGGATATTTATATGACATCCAACACATCTGATTCATATCAAGGATGTTAACATGACATCCAACTCATCTGATCGGTATCACACATTCATGTAATAATACATTCATAACCTATCATCGACGTTCACCCAATTATTTAAGGTAACATCGCAACGAAATCATTAATATAGTAATTAAAAACAACATTGTAACTCACGACACTTAGTCTCATAAAAGTCACTTCATAGCATAATCAAAAGAGTTATAACAATCAACTCAAAACAACTTAGAAATCTCCACATCATAAGGGTATTTAACTTCAACATAAATGACATAAGAATCAAATTCAAGTGTTCATCCTACCCGATGTTACATGATCAGAGCAAGAAACCACTAGTAAAAGCGATAAAATAAAGAAGTAACTCCAAGGCTATCTTCTACCTACTTCAGCAATGTTACTCCTGAGTATCGGCACAATGCCCATGTAAAGGCAACATTCATACAGAAGGGGTTCGAATAGGATTCAATAATTAGCGGTGAAATAATCAGAAGTAGATTAATTAGCAACATCACACATCAGTTGAAACAACATCAATATATCAAGTATTCTCATCCATACGACATAACATTAAAATAATTACTGAATGCAACATAAATGCAAATGAACTCAACAACTGACTCAACATGCATGTGGTACCAAATTATGAACACTTATGTCCATTTCACTCCACAATCCCCAACATAGGACCAATTCCCTCTTGGAACCGGAGCATACCAAATCGCCACCATCACCATAGGTAACACTTCACTAATTCCCCATAATAGAAATTAGCTACTCGCACCCAATCCATCGCCATAGGATCGAGGCTCATCATAAAGGACCAAACTTCAGACAACATGAATGCATGGACTTTTAAAATGCAACAAAAACACATACACATTATCCCCTCTTTTGACCATGTATACCATCAATAACATAATCACCAGAAACATGTCATGTATATATTCGGACGTGCATCATGAATAACAACATTATCACAACAACATCATCATCATCACATCATAACGACATCATTAACATCACATCATCACAACATCATCAACACCACATCATCACAACATCATCAACATCACATCATCACAACATCATCAACATCTTAACAACACTATCATAACAGTATCAACATAGCAACATCACTATCACACACCATTATCACAATAATACAACAATTCATTAACCAACATATAAATAA